AACCACCATTTATTATAGCTTGTATTAACACGTTGAGTTCATTTACCTCTTAATGGTCTTGTGTCTGTCGCCTGGTACTAATTCATTGCGTTAAAGGTATTTATATTCATGAATGCTCTTACAAGTGTTTGCAGAAGCTCTCACTCAACCAGGTGTGTCAGAGGGGCTGCAGGTGTTCTTGGAGTCGAGATGTAGAACAGAGAACCCAAAGTGACTCCTGTGGGGGTAGCAACAAACACTTTTTTTTTTATCATATTATGATATTTATACAGCTGCTAGTGTTACAAGTTTTATTAATCTCATCTCTGGAGTGAGATTTTAATTAATTATCTCCACTTCCTGTCTGGTATAACTGTGTCACCAAAAAGGGAAGTGAGTGGGTATATCTCTAAAGCAGACCCAGATAGCAATACATCTCTACAGGGGTTCTATTCTGTGCCCACTCCAAGGAAAACTAGAAGACAAAATGGTTCTAGATACACTTTCATGTCAAAAGATGGAACTGTGGTTAGCATGCTTGCTTTCCAGCTCTGAAGTCACATGTATACTTCCCCCCAAAGACACTAAGAGGGAGATTTACTAAAACTGTTGCACACAGAATCCGATGCAGCTGTGCATAGTAACCAATCAGATTCTAACTTCAGCTTGTTCAATTAAGCTTTAACAGTAAAATCTGGAAGCTGAATGGTTACTTAGCACCAGATTCTGTGTGCACCAGTTTTAGTAAATCTTCCCCTAATTTTGAGCAATGTGCTAAGTACAGTTATCCCCATAGTAAGAGGTGACATGATGATGGTTGCATGGTTAGAAGACTTGCTTTACTGCACCAGGGTCATTTAGTGACCATTATGTATCCCTGTGGCATTTTCATGTTCTTCTCTTGTTTGTTTGGGTTTTCCCTAGGTGAACCAATTTTGTCTCAACTAACTGGCCTCCAAAATTGTTTGTGTATAATATATGTAGATGAATGACTATGGGTATGTATATTAAACTAGAAGCTCCTTAGAGGGCAAGACCTGTTGTGATTAGTACATGTATTTAGTACAGTAAACAAATGAAATAAACACATGGATAAATCATCTAGTTACTGTGAACTGTAATGTGGACATATATGTCAGTTATTGGAGTTCAGTAGACAAAAATGCTTACTCCAAATACTGCCCATTCTTTACCACAAAGGATGATCATAAGGAATAACCATACATACAACTATTCTCCTTATTGAAATAGTTTTGATGTTTTGCAATGCATATTAGCACATTATGTGAAACTTACCTTAAAATGAAGCCCTCCAGTAGCGTGCTGTCACTGCTGACAGTGCTTTCATCTTCACTCAGTACTTTTTCCAGGTTTGCAGGCTCCGGTGACTTGAATGGCCGAGCCAACATGATGTCACTTCTGCTCATGTGCACAGGAGTCACTTTTTACAGCACACAACTCTGAAGGAACAGCATGGGCACGACGTTCCTTTAGAGCACATGTGCCAGTGGTACACTGGTAAATATCTCCTAAATGGTGCATATTTAGGAGATATTTACAGTACCTATAGGTAAGCCTTATTATAGGCTTACCTGTAGGTATAAGTTAAGAAAAAGACTTTACTACCACTTTAAGGTCTAGTACCATTTGGTGCACCACGGACCTCCATTTACGTAGACCTTTTGAATGATGGTTGGTGATGATACCTCTTTTGACCTCTTAAAAGAGCTTTAAAGGCTGTGAAAAGGAGGGGAGACCTTGAGCTTTACAGTCAGACGTTCTCAGAATTTTATAGAACAAGAAACATCCTAAAAGTATTCTGTGTCAGAAAAAAACCCAAGATAATTCTGTATCTGTGTCAGGATGCAGTGATCAAAAGTGAGCTCACCACTGAGGTGCAACCGAGCATGCACATTTTTTATTTTATTAAGGGCGGCCTTACAGTACCTCACAGAAGTGAGTACACCCCTCACATTTTTGTAAATATTTTATTATATCTTTTCATGTGACAACACTGAAGAAATTACACTTTTCTACAATGTAAAATAGTGAGTGTACAACTTGCATAACAATGTAAATTTGGTGTCCCCTCAAAATAACTCAACACACAGCCATTAATGTCTAAACCACTGGTAACAAAAGTTAGTACACCCCTAAGTGAAAATGTCCAAACTGGGCCCAATTAGCCATTTTCCCTTCCCTAAACAGCTGGCAACAAAAGTGAGTACACCCCTAAGTGAAAATGTCCAAATTGGGCCCAAAGTGTCAATATTTTGTGTGGCCACCATTATTTTCCAGCACTGCCTTAACCCTCTTGGGCATGGAGTTCACCAAAGCTTCACAGGTTACCACTGGAGTCCTCTTCCACTCTTCCATGACGACATCACGGAGCTGGTGGATGTTAGAGACCTTGCGCTCCTCCACCTTCCATTTGATGATGCACCACAGATGCTTAATAGGGTTTAGGTCTGGAGACATGCTTGGCCAGTCCATCACCTTTACCCTCAGCTTCTTTAGCAAGGCAGTGGTTGTTTTGGAGGTGTGTTTGGGGTCGTTATTATGTTGGAATACTGCCCTGCGGCCCAGTCTCCGAAGGGAGGGGATCTTGCTCTGCTTCAGTGAGTCACAGTACATGTTGGCATTCATGGTTGCCTCAATGAACTGTAGCTCCCCAGTGCCGGCAGCACTCATGCAGCCCTAGACCATGACACTCCCACCACCATGCTTGACTGTAGGCAAGACACATTTGTCTTTGTACTCCTCACCTGGTTGTGGCGTACGGTCTGAGCACTGATAGGCTGACCCCCCACCCCTTCAGCCTCTGCAGCAATGCTGGCAGCACCCATACATGTATTTCCCAAAGACAACCTCTGGATATGACACTGAGCACGTGCACTCAACTTCTTTGGTCGACCATGGTGAGGCCTTTTCTGAGTGGAACCTGTCCTGTTAAACCGCTGTATGGACTTGGCCACCGTGCTGCAGCTCAGTTTCAGGGTCTTGGCAATCTTCTTATAGCCTAGGCCATCTTTATGTAGAGCAACAATTCTTTTTTTCAGATCCTGAGAGAATTCTTTGCCATGAGGTGCCACGTTGACCTTCCAGTGACCAGTATGAGAGAGAGCGATAACACCAAATTTAATACACCTGCTCCCCATTCACACCTGAGACCTTGTAACACTAACGATTCACATGACACTGGGGAGGGAAAATGGCTAATTGGGCCCAGTTTGGACATTTTCACTTAGGGGTGTACTCACTTTTGTTGTCAGTGGTTTAGACATTAATGGCTGTGTGCTGAGTTATTTTAAGGGGACAGCAAATTTACACTGTTATACAAGCTGTATACTCACTACTTTACATTGTAGCAAAGTGTCATTTCTTCAGTGTTGTCACATGAAAAGATATAATAAAATATTTACAAAAATGTGCGGGGTGTACTCACTTCTGTGAGATACTGTATATACAAGAAACATGCAAAAATCATGTCACTCCAATACACATGGTACTGCAGTACCATGTGTTTTGCCATGTGTGCTCGTTTGCAAGTATTAACGCATCTGAAAAGGGGCAACACCAAAGTGTGTGACTTTGTATATGTTCACGCAATGCACTGGTATGAACAAAGTCGGTTGATTGTGATTGAAAAAGTTAAATTGCAACTCTGTCAAATTAGGAGAAATAACAACATTAGATCTTTCCCTGAAGGACATTAATCACGGAAAATGAAACAATTACAAAAGCACTGCATATCGTCAACACTGAAATAAACTAAAAACACAGATTCACAGAAACAGATTAGAAGAGCGTGCCTTGAGAATTGGAAGGGCAAGGTCTACCCATGGAGCTTACCCATTGAGTAGTTAAAGGAATTCCACAAGAACAATCAAGTGGAGAGAATCAGAATTCTTCCACTGATCTGATAGATTGATGGAAAATCCATCATGTCATAGTGAGCAAAGCAAGCAACTGAGGTGGGGTCCCAAAAAAGAAAATATTCTCACCAGACAACTTGGGGAAAAGGTTAAAAAAAAAAAAAAATCTTTATGAGGAAACTGATAATCCAATAACACATTAAACACTTTATTCATTAGTTGTTGTCTTACATAGTAGGGGAGGCAGCCTCAAGTATTCTGATATAGAAATTGTCAGGAGATAAGGAAGAAAGAGGCCTATTCTGCCCCACAGACCCCCAAAGAATACATATTCCATCAATTAAATACACTTTTTAAATTATGAAATAATAAATTAACTATAATGCCGTAATAAACCTAAATAAGCATGGGCAACCTCATAATGTATACTGTTTTTGTCAAAATATTAAATATACCCATGTAAACCACACAAAAACACAATATAACTCAAGATCCCATCTCTTCTATTTGTTTGAATTCATTTATTATTAAACAAAAAACATTGGAAAAGATGCAAGGCTCACTATGTTGCCAAAAATAGGAATTAATGAGACCTTGAATGAATGCCCAGGTCATTTGTTTTGATGCTTCAATCACTATGGCTCCAAAACATCACATACAAAGAGAGATGATTCAAGAAACTCCCTTGTAAATCTTTTGTCTTGACCATTACACATAAAGAAATACAATTATTAAGTAAAGGCTTTTCCTTTTGCTAAAAGTAAGTTTTAATGCTTTCCAATTTGAATAGGATCTGTTCAAGTTTGAACGGACGTTAAAGATTAAACAATTCTCCTCAGATTAAAGGAAAGATTGACTTCATCTAACTAGATGGGACAGTTCAAGTTTAAAAGCGAATTTATGCCCCTTGGGCAGTTCAAAAGCATTGATAGTTGCAAAAAAAAAAGAAGAATAGACTTTACTGGCAATGAAAAGGGAACTCAACAGTAGTACATAAAACCATAGTTTATTTACAAACGTGTTGAAATCGCTTGTATCTCAAGCTATGTATAGTATGTATAAGAACAATTTCTGTATAATATTATAGTGATTACAGCTGTTGACTCACTATCCCCATTATTTATATATTTATGTTTCAGTGTTACAGCACTTAGTAACATGTAGTAGGGTTGTGAGTCCTGGTTTAGATGATTATACAGTACAGGGGCGGACTGACAACTCATGGGGCCCCCGAGCACTAGAGGATCATGGGACCCCTGTGTCCTTGCCCAAACTCAAAAAAGCCTATAAAAAAAAGGTACCAGGGGCATCTCATGGGGCCCCCTACTGACTCCGGGCCCTCGGGCAGTGCCCGAGTTTCCAAATGGTCAGTCCGCCCCTGATACAGTATATATCATCCCTTTGTAGTGACCAACTTGTTGCAGTATAGTAATGGATCGGGACCAGCTACCTTATCAATAACCCACACATACTACCTATAGCCTATTCTGGTAGGTATACAGTACATGTTGTAGGATGTAGTTGATTTGTAATAGCCCCTGTATAGTTATGGAAGCTAATTAGGATATTGTATTACCAGCCATCGTACCGTCTGGTGCCTGTTTGACTTTTTATTTGCTCCTTTGCCTGCCCTAGGGGGACCCCCAGGCTATTAGGATATGCATGATCAAGGTGCTTTATATACTTCCCTTATACATGGGATGCGTGCCAATTGTTTCTTAAATGTATTGTTTTACACATTATACATGAGTGTTATGTGATTTTTGTTACATTTCAGTGATCGCTGCTGAAATCTCATGTATCCTGAAGAAGTTAATAAAGAGAAACGCGTTGACTCATGAGGACTCACAACTTTACTACATGTTACTAATTGCTGTAATACCGAAACATAAATATATAAATAATGGGGATAGTGAGTCAGCAGCTGTGATCAAATATAATATTATGTAGATATTGTTCTTAAACATACTTTAGCTTGAGATACAAGTGAAGTCTGTAAATAAACTATGGTTTAAAATATGCTGTTGAGTTCCCTTTTCATTGCCAGTAAAATCCATTCTTCTTTTTTTCTTTACATACAGTATACACATTTTTATGGATGTGGCAAGTTGAACGATATTCCTTCATAGCATCGATTGTTGTATCCAAACAGTGAAATACAACAAATGCCTACAAGCCAGTCATATAAAAACTCATTCTAGCATGATAAAAAGAGAGTAACAGGTCCCCAAATTACTTTAGAAATGGTCACAATTTAATTATTTACTGGCCAATAAAGGCAGATCAATCATTTTGCTGGACAAATTGGAAAACCGTACATTTTTTCACTTGTGAAACATATTTTTGTGTACAGTATATCTCCTGAAGTGCTCTTGTTACCTAGTATATACTGTATGTATAGGGGAAAAACTAAAGGCCCTTTTAAAAAAAATTTCAAAAATATATTGGTCTGATATATAATTAGCCTTGAACACAGCTCAACAGTATAGATATGCTGATGTCAATAAACCATTGTCTATTCATTGAGCAAGGAATCGTCGTCAAGTCCATGAGCTGAGAAGTCAAGTGATAGGACATGCCCCAAGATCAAGTATAGATGATTTTTGGATTCACAATCTCATACAATAGTTCTTTCATACCTTTTTTATTCTTGAAATTGATGGTTGCTTATATCTGCCATCTTCTAACAAATACTTTTTTTCTTGCCTTTTTTTGTTATCTTTTTTTTGTAATCCTCTTATTGTATTATGCTTTCAGTCTTTTTCTTTTCTTATTCATATCTTTTACACAGTTTTGTTTTTTCAATCAGAATTGATATGCTGAAAGTTCCTTGATTGATCGTAAGCTCTGCGATTAGGCCCATATAACACCCTGATATTGTTTAGGTTGCAGGATGTTAAAAGAGACACAAGGTGGCAGTGTCCTGCAACTCAGTGGCACACACTCTAGTGAAAAGCTTTATGGATTTTGTAATCTGAACCACAGGATTTTGCTGGATGGCAGCGAACTAGGAGACTACATTTCCCAGAGGAGCTGGTGTGTGGACGGAGGCATATAAATGTAGAAGCCCAGGAACCCAGGAAGCAGGAAGTGACCAGGGAGAGAGAGGTGGAAGGAAGGTATCAGGAGGACTGAACCAGGCCACAGAGAGTGGGGGGGGGGGGACTGGAGCGAACGGAAGAATAGTTGACCACTTACATCTCCGAAGAGTCTGGAGCACTACCCAGTTGGCCGGAGACCCGTAGGGCTGCTGTCACAAATGAACTCTGCACGAGGAACTGCAGGACCACTGGGGGCCTCCATTTACTGAAAGACAACCAGAGACTCTAGTGAAGCCACAGATCAGGTGAGAGAATCCCATTCTCCAGCCAATTAAGTTATCCCTGGCATTTTTTTGAATCAGTCATTCTCTATCTAGTTACTGACATTGTTCACAAGTGCCTGTTCTTGCATTAATCCTTTTAAATAATTTCCACCTATTGTATTCCAAGGAGATTTGAATTCTTGTTGTGCACCAACTGGGCCCCAGCGAGCATACAGTTAAAGGGATGTTAGCCTTCCTAATTTCCTTATCTCAGATTTGAACCTTGTCATCAGCTTCTGAGGGCCCAAAGTGAGCTAGCTTTACCTCAGTATTTTGTTTCCTTTGCTTACTGGGGAGAGAAACATCTCAGAATTGAAGCCCTTGGTTAATGTCTGACTTGCAGGATGTCCAGAACTGATTGAGATTTTTTGCTGTATGTGCTTACTTTTGCTTAAAGTTGCTAAGAGTGATAACTGTTATTATATGCACGTCTGTTACTTTGTACTACTTTACTGTGCTCACATTCAACTCTAATCTAGACAAAAATCAGTTCACTCTAACTGGTGTGTAAGTCTATTTCTGGTGATATTGAATTTATTCTGGCCAGAAGTGTATGGTGGTGTCAGCAGGGGTTGGGCTTTCAGAGTGGGCTCAAGAGCGACAGGAAACCCAAAAATAACTCAGTGACTGCTAAGGGCATAGTTTTACACCCAAGTAGGGTCAAATGTGTCACAAAGGTGTGGCTTCAGGCAGAGACTTTCAATATGTCAATTTTGACTGAAAACTTTTTTAATGTGGAGTGATGTCTTCAGTGTGTGGCCTTTGTGGAAAATTTAAAGTGGCCTAAGGACCAGATACAGGCCCTTCACCTGTCTCTCCCTTGGTTGGGGAGAGTGGTGAGGTTTAGAGCGGTGCTCATTTCTTTGGAGTCTACCAACAATATATTTTCTGTAACCTTGCATGATTTTGCCAATGAACATTAATTATGGGTACTTGCTTTGTCTATTGGGTTAAATTTGTAGTTGATTGGCTGATTGTACTATTTAGGGATCTGGTCTTTAACAAAATTGTCACTGTTGCCTGATAAAGAAGCTGATGTAGAGAGCTGCAAAACATCACTGTATCTTTGTAACTAATGTGGAGTGTTAAGAGGTGCCGGTGATGTGCTGGTGATAAACACAAACATAAATGTTGGCTTTAGCTGGACTTACATTCCATTTGTCTCCAATTCCAAAATTAATTTATAGTTTTAGTTAAATCACATACTTATGCAGAGGTGATAAGTAGATAAATTACTACACTTTCTACCTTCATCCATCAGAAGGCGCCGTGCTGTGCAGTACAAGGGTCTCAGCCTTTGGGCTGGGTGTATGTAAATTTATTGTATGTTCTCAGCATTTGTGGTTGTGTTTATTTGCCACATCTAAGTAAAATTCTGTTGTGGCAAAAGCTGGTGTTGGGGTTGCTTTCCTTGTTCGTGACTTTACTGTATCCTGGGGAGCCCACCCCGGTACACGGCTTACAGTAGCACTGTATATTATACTCATTTCATATCTTGGTGCACAACAACAGTTAAAGTGTTTCTAAAGGATGAACGTTTTTTTACCTTTATGCATTCTATGCATTCTAAAAAACTTTCAGTGTGCAGCTTCCCCCACCAGTACGTATCCCAGTCCAGCAATGTGCCCAAGAGCAGCAGCTCTCCCAGGTCTCTCCCTCCTCACTGGTTTAGAGACAGCAGTGGGAGCTATTGGCTCCTGCTGCTGTCAATCAAGGCCAGTGAGGAGGGAGTGGGGGGTGGGACCAAGCCACACTCTGTGTGTTTTATAGGCACACGGGCAGCTCAGGAGCGAATATGCACTAGTGCTCCCAGAGCAAGCAGGGGGAAGGAGCCAGGAGCAATGTTGAGGGACCCAAGAAGAGAAGGATTGAGGTTGCTCTGTGCAAAACCATTGCACACAGCAGGTGAGTATGACATGTTTGCCTTTTTAAAACCCAAAAACTGTTAACCTTTTGTAGCACCCTCCTAGGTAGGTTGCTAGGATGTATATAGTCTAGTTTAGTATAGTGTGGTCTTCTGCTTAACAGGAGACTGATAGATAAAAAACAGAAAGCTACAGTTGCTTAATGAGAAGATCCAGTGTGGCTCACATTGCTGCTGCTGTTGCTGCGATTGGCTCCTCTGTATCCAGGAGACCTTGGAAGGTTCTGGGTGAACAGGAGTGACCCATGCAGATCAGCAGCATGTTCCAGCCAATTACAGGGAGTGGTGCCCCTGAGAATTCTGGGTAGTATTTATATTCAGTGAGCACATGTCATCTGGGTTCCTCTTCCTGTGAGAAGGGAATTCCAGCCAGGGAAGGTGGCTGCCTCTCTGGCACATGCTGCCAGGAGGCCTCGGGTGGGCAACCTGAGGGCCAGAATGCTGAAACCCAGGGTGCTTCTGATAGTTATACTAAGATAGTTATTAAAGAGGTTATTAAATACATTAACGTGTCACCCAATGTATGGTCTCCATTCAGTAGCCAAAAGAGGCATACAAAAAAGGAAGGTTGTGAAAAAGAGATTCACAGAAAAGCGGCTACATAATGAACAGAACGTGACACTAAGGGAATAATTTCCAAAAATTATGCTTTATTACACACAAATGAATATGACATATGGGCATTCGCCCTGGTTTACCATCACCTCAGTATGAGACAATACACACAGACCTAAAACCATTTAAAATGACACAAAAACCGGTCTAAATGTATGTGTAGCAGGGAAAATGGCTACATGAGTCTAATGTCCCTGCAACACAAACACACAGGTGAACACTTCCCTAGGGAGGTGTATCCAAAAATTATGCCATGGGCATACCATAATAGAGGATATGAGGGATTAAACAGTAACCATAATGGCAAA